AACATGGGAGTAGCCAATTATATAAACCAATTAACAACAAAACCAAAAAAAACACATTGATAATAATGCAATAATAGTAGGGGGCTTTAACAACCCCCCTTACTAAAATGGACAGATCATCTAAGCAAAAGATAAACAAGGAAATAAAGGCTTTAAATGACACACTGGACCAGATGGACATCACAGATATATTCAGAACATTCCATTCCAAAGCAACAGAATACACATTTCTCTAGTGCAAATGGGACATTCTCCAGGATAGATGACATCCTGGGTCACAAATCAGGTCTCAATCAGTACCAAAAGATTGGGACCATTCCCTGTATATTTTCAGACCAAAATGCTTTGAAACTCGAACTCAACCACAAGAGGAAAGTTGGAAAGAACTCAAATAACGGAGGCTAAAGAGTATCCTATTAAAGAATGAATGGATCAACCAGGAAATTAAAGAAGAATTTAGAAACTTCATGGAAACAAATGAAAATGAAAACACAACTGTTCAAAATCTTTGGGACACAGCAAAGGCGGTCCTGAGAGGAAAGTATATAGCAATACAAGCTTTTCTCAAAAAACAAGAAAGGTCTCAAGGGCCTAAAAGAGCTGGAGAAAGAACAGCAAATAAAGCCTGACTACAGCAGGAGAAGAGAAATAAAAAAGATCAGAGCGGAAAACCAATAAAATAGAAGCCAGAAGAACAGTACAACTGATCAATGAAACTAAGAGCTGGGTCTTTGAAAAAAAATTAATAAGATTGATAACCCCCTGGCCAGACTTATCAAAAAGAAAAGAGGAAGGACCCAAATTAATAAAATCATGAATCAAAGCAGAGAGATCACAGCCAACACCAAGGAAATACAAACAATTATAAGAACATATTATGAGGAACTATACACCAGCAAATTTGATAATCTGGAAAAAATGGATGCATTCCTAGAGATGTATGGACTACCAAAACTAAACCAGGAAGAAATAGAAAACCCGAACAAACCCATAACCAGTAAGGAGATTGAAGCAGTAATCAAAACTCTCCCAACAAACAAGATTCCTGGACCAGATGGCTTCCTAAGGGCATTCTAACAAACATTTAAAGAAGAATTAATACCTATTCTCCTGAAACTGTTCCAAAAAAAATAGAAATGGAAGGAAAACTTCCAAACTCATTTTATGAGGCCACCATTACCTTGATCCCAAAACCGGACAAAGACCCCATCAAAAAGGAGAATTATGGACCAATATCTTTGGTGAATGCAGATGCAGAAATTCTCACCAATACTGGCCAACAGGACCCAACGGTATATTAAAAGGATTATTCACCATGACCAAGTTGGATTTATTCCTGGGCTGCAGGGTTGGTTCAACAACCACAAATCAATCAATGTGATACAATACATTAATAAAAGAAAGAACAAAAAAAAAAAAAAAAGAAAGAACAAGAACCATTTGATAGTCTCAATAGATGCAGAAAAAGCATTTGACAGAGTACAGCATCCTTTCTTGATTAAAATTCTTCACAGTGTAGGGATAGAGGGTACATACCACAATATCATAAAAGCCACTGATGAAAAACACAGAGCGAATATCATTCTCCATGGGGAAAAACTGAGAACTTTTTCCCTAAGATAGGAACATGGCAGGACTATCCACTATCACCACTGCTATTCAACATAGTACTAGAAGTACTAGCCTTAGCAATCAGACAACAAAATGAAATCAAAGGCATCTGAATCAATTCAGCAAAGAAGTCATACTCTCACTCTTTGCACATGATATGATACTTTATGTGGAAAACGTAAAAGACTCCACTCCAAAACTGTTGAACTCATACAGGAATTCAGTAAAGTATCAGGATGTAAAATCAATGCATGGAAATCAGCATTTCTATACACCAAAAATAAGACAGAATAAATCGAAATTAAGGAATCAGTCCCCTTTACAATTGCACCCAAACTATAAGATATCTAGGAATAAATCTAACCAAAGAGGCAAAGAATCTGTGCTCAGAAAACTATAAAATATTCATGAAAGAAACTGAGGAAGACACAAAGAAATGGAAAAACATTCCATGCTCATGGATTAGAAGAACAAATATTATGAAAATGTCTCTTCTACCTAGAGCAATCTACATATTTAATGCAATCCCTATCAAAATACCATCAAGTTTTTTCAAAGAAATGGAACAAATAATCCCAAAATTTATGTGGAACCAGAAAAGACCCTGAATAGCCAGAGGAATGTTGAAAAAGAAAAGCAAAGCTGGTGGTATCCCAATTCTAGACTTTAAGCTCTGTTACAAAGCTGTAATCATGAAGACAGAATGGTGCTGGCACAAAAACAGACACATAGATCAATGGAATAAAATAGAGAGCCCAGAAATGGGCCCTCAACTCTATGGTCAACTAATCTTCAACAAAGCAGCAAAGAATGTCCAATGGAAAAAAGATAGTCTCTTCAAGAAACGATGTTGGAAAAATTGGACAGCCACATGCAGAAGAATGAAACTGGACCATTCCCTTACACCATACACAAAAATAGACTCAAAATGGATGAACACCTCAATGTGAGGCAGGAATCCATCAAAACCCTTGAGGAGAACACAGGCAGCAACCTCTTCAACTGAAGCCGCAGCAACTTCTTCCTAGAAACATTGCCAAAGGCAAGGGAAGCAAGGGCAAAAATGAACTACTGGGACTTCATCAAGATCAAAGGCTTTTGCACAGCAAAGGAAACAGTCAACAAAACCAAAAGACAACTGATAGATTGAGAAAAGATATTTGTAAATGACATATCAGATAAAGGGGTAGTATCCAAACTCTATAAAGAATGTATCAAACTCAACACCCAAAGAATAAATAATCCAATCAAGAAATGCACAGAAGACATGAACGACATTTCTTCAAAGAAGACATCCAAATAGCCAACAGACACATGAAAAAGTGCTCAACATTCCTCCGTATGAGGGAAGTACAAATCAAAACCACAATGAGATACCACCTCAAACCAGTCAGAATGGGTAAAATTAACAGGTCAAGAAAAGACAGATGTTGGTGAGGATTCGGGGAAAGGGGAACCCTCCTACACTATTGGTGGGAATGCAAACTGGTGCAGCCACTCTGGAAAACAGTGTGGAGGTCCCTCAAAAAGTTGGAAATAGAGATACCCTAAAATCCAGGAATTGCACTACTGGGTATCTGCCCCAGAGATACAAATGTAGTGATCCAAAGGGGCATGTATAGAATTTTTATAGCAGCAGTGTCCATAATAGCCAAACTATGGAAAGAGCCCAGATGTCCATGTACAGATGAATGGGTAAAGAAGATATGGTATATAGACACAATGGAATACTATACAGCCATCAAAACCCCCAAAGTCTTGTGATTTGCAAATACCTAGCTGGAACTAGAGGGTATTAAGTTAAGCAAAATAAGTCAACCAGAGAAAGACAATTGTCATACGATCTCACTGATCTGTGGAATTTGAGAAACAAGGCAGAGGATGTAAGGGAAGAGAGGAAAAAATAAGAGGAAACCAGAGAGGGAGACAAAAGATAAGAGTCTTAATCTAAGGAAACAAACTGAGGGTTGCTAGAGTTAAGGGGAGGGAAGGATGGGGGCTGAGTGATAGACATTGGGGAGGGAATGTGTTGTGGTGAGTGCTGTGAATTGTGTAAGACTGATGAATGACAGACCTGTACCCCTGAAACAAATACATTATATGTTAATTTAAAAAATGGTGGGGGGAAAATGATAGCAGTGAAAAATTGGTGATTTTTTTCTATAAAGGACCAAAGAGTAAGTATGTTGGGCTTTGCAGACCCTATGGTTTTGTTGTAGCTACTTCACTCCACCCTCACAGCTGGAAAGCAGCTCAGATGATAGGTAAAAGATTGAGCAGTGTGAGTACTGAGCATTCAGCCCAAGAGAGATGGGGAGAAACTCATGCAGACCTCCAGAAGGCATGCATGCTCTCCATTGTTCGCCCTCTCCCAAGTCTTTCTGTTCTGTGCAGTGCTCTTTTCCGGTACTCAGCCCTATGAACTCTAGCTATGTTGGCTTCCCCAATTACCCACTCTGCTTTCTCAATTCTGGGAGACCCCTGGGATCTGCTTGGGTCCCTCCTCCCTTGGTGGCCTGGAAACTCTCTCCAGGCAGTAAACTGGGACAATGACAAGGCTCGCCCTATTTTTCTCCTCTCGGGGCTGACTCTACTACACTGTCTACTGTTGAAGTTTTAAAAAATATTTCTTAGATATGTTTTCCTTTTATAAATTTGTTTAAGGTGAGAGGGTAAAACTGGTCCTATTACTCCATCCTGGTTAAGATATTTCATTGTTGGGATTTAATTGATGGGAAAAATTGATCTCCTATTATTGAGTCTTTCCTCTTAACAACATGGGGTATTAATTTAGAACTTCTTTTAATTTCTCCAGTGACTTTGTGGTCTTCCACATTCACTTAGCTGTCACATATAAAGGCCCTTATAGAGGCTCCTTCATTTATTTCTTAGCATCTTATTTAGACCCTGTAGCAATGTAGAGATAGAATCTAAATAAGACCCGGGTTTCTGCTTCTAAAAGTATCTCCTAGACCCACCCTCTTCCCCCTACCTGCAGATCAGTAGAGGGCCTGTGACTTGACCTTTGGGGTTGGCTTCATTCCAGCTGACTCTTTCATGAGGTAGAGCGGGGATGGGCAGCTCTGGACTGGGGCTTGGGCTGGTGCTTGGGAAAACCCTAGAAGCACTCCTCATGGAACCCCAAGGTAGAAACTGAGTTAGAAGGGTACCTGGGTAGCTCAGTTGTTAAGTGTCTGCCTTTGGCTCAGGTCATGATGCCAGGGTCCTGGGATTGAGCCCCACATTGGGTTCCCTGCTCTCTGGGGAGCCTGCTTCTCCCTTTCCTACACCCCCTGCTTGTGTTCCTTCTCTTGCTATCTCTGTCAACACATAAATTAATAATTAATTAAATAAATTTTAAAAATCTTTAAAAAAAGAAACTGACTTAGAGCAGGTTCATTTTGGCATGGCTTGGCTGAAGCTTTTTTTCTACTTTTTTTTTTTTTAAGTTGGCTCCACAGCCAGTGCAGAGCCCAATGTGGGGCTTGAACTCATGACCCTGAGATCAAGACCTGAGCTGAAAACGATCATCAGACACTTAACCAACTGAGCCACCTGGACTATCTGCTTTTTTCTACTTTTATCTACACGTGGGCATGGATGTGCTCTGAGAAGTAAAACCTAAAGATTGAATTATACGTCTTTTTTTTTTTTTAAGATTTTATTTATTTATTTGGCAGACAGAGATCACAAGTAGGCAGAGAGGCAGGCAGAGAGAGAGAGGAGGAACCAGGCTCCCCGCCGAGCAGAGAGCCCGATTCGGGGCTCAATCCCAGGATCCTGGGATCACGACCTGAGCCAAAGGCAGAGGATGTAACCCACTGAGCCACCCAGGTGCCCTGAGTTATACGTCTTTCTGTATCTGGTTGTGGGGTCACTCTACCTTCTTTGTACTCTAGGTCTCTTTGTTGATGGTTACTAATATGCAGAAAAAAATCACCTCCAATAATATCTCTGGGATAAACATGCATTTGTGGGCCAGTTAGGGAAGTTGGGGGTGTTGTGTTGTAAACACCAAGCAAGGAATTTAGAAGCAAACTTGGAACATAATTCCTTTCTAAGTTAAGAACTACCTGTTTTTATGAAATCCATCTCTTGTCATGATGACAGTAAAAAAATGAGGAGACCTTAACTGACTACAGTTGACACTAGATGGGTAAACACCCATCCTACGCAATGAGCTGGTTAATTATAGCTGTACCCTGTTTATAGACCTTCGATTAATCTCTTGAGAGTATATAACTATCACCCATAATGTCTCATGGCATCTGAGCAGGACTTTTCAGAGGTCAGACTCCTCCATTAACTCAAACTAATGTCTTAAGAATCAAAGGGCTAGGCGGAAGTTAGCTTACTTTTATTCACCCTCCTCTTTATATAAGGTAGCGATCCCCTTATATAAAGCGTCAGAGAAGTGACGAAGCAAATAAAAGTGACAGGGAGGAGATCTTCGTGTATTTCACGGAACTCACATCACTTCCACTCTTATACTTGGCAAAACAATTATACGTATGTACCACCCAGCTTTCTAGAATGTGGGTGTATTCAGACTTCCCGAAATGGTGAGTTCCGTGGACTTGAACACTGTCCACACTCTGACCTCTCTGTATTGGTAAAAACAATGTCACTCTTATAAAACGCAATAAACCAAGACACTTTGGCGAGGCAACTCAGCCCAAGTGTGGATGCCGGCTCAGCTGCTCAGGCTCACCCGCAGAACGACGGGTCGGCACCCTGATGCACACTGGCATCACTGGCCGAGCTTCTCGGTAGAACCATGCCCACTCAGACGGAGTAAATCAGGAGCTGTGGTCTGGGCCCCGGACACTGCTGTTTTAAGTTCTGCTGGTCACCGTTATGTGAAGCCCAGCTTGAGAGCCGCTGCCTCCACATGAGAGTGGTGGTGGCCATGGAGCCAATAGTTAACACTCGAAGCATTCATGCAGAGTAGATTTTATTATATAAAGCGATAGTGAACTTTTTGGTCTTCCCAAGGATGTTGCTAAGTATGGAAAACTTGCCCCTTTCTCTCGTATTTAGCTTAGAAGGTGATGCGTCTGTGTGTGAGACAGAAAAGGAAGGACAGAGAGAGGGAGGAGAGGGGAGAGAAAATGAGAGAGACAGGGAGAGCGGCATAGCTCCGTAATGTCTGAATTTTTCTTCTCCCTGTGGCCACATCCTTTCTCAGGTCATCATCTCTCCAGTCCTGCTCCCCTCTCCCTACCTTCTAGCAGCACTGATGCCATTCTTCCTCTCAAATGTGTCCCTCCTTTTATCATCCCCTTTAGTGGCACCCTGTCCAGAGGAAAACTCAGCATCCTCCTCTGGGCACCAAGGGCCTCTCATGACTAGTCTGGAGCCCAAATGTCCCTGAGCGAGCACTGTTGTCTCTGGTTTCTCATCTTTGAGCGGTTGGTTTCTACCTCACCCCAACCTGCCAGAAGTTCCCTCTCAAGGCTCTTCCTCTGAGTAAAACCTTTGTTCTTTCCACCTTCCACTTCCTACCCACCCCTAGCTCTTCACTGGTTTTGCACCAGAGCAATACCCAAATAATCCTACCACAGGTCTGGTATGGGGGGGAGCTCAAAAAAACAGTGTGCAAACGAATAAATTTCATTTCTTGCAGTAGCAAAATTGTAAGTCTGTCTTCTGTATTAGATTGTGAGCTTTCTCTAAGTGCAGTGGGTAACATGGTATATGTAGTAGAGAAAGCAAAGCTTTCAGAGGTGGATTTGGGTTGCAAATGCTGCCCGAGATTTAAGAGCTGTAGGGTGTTGGGGAAGTCTGTTTCCTTGGCTATAAAATGAGTTGACTCCCTGAAGGGTTGTGAAGATTAGACATGGCGTGTATCGTGTCAGCTACACAGCAGGTGACCAGAAACTTAACTCACAATTTACCAGGTGCACCGCAAAATCCACGAGTAACACTAGAAAGCTTGTCTTTTGGATTGTATGGTCACGATTCTATGCAAGTTACATGTTGGTTAGGAGATTTGAAAACACTCCTCTCTCCCACCTTCATCCTCAGGGGCATATTGTAACTATTACCTTATTGAATCCCCCCAAACTGGCCTCGGAATTATTAATCCCACTGCAGGCAAGAAAACCAGAGTAATGGGAAGATCACGGCCATCCTTTCACAAGGCCGCCCGGGCTCTTCAGACCCCTGTCTACTGACCCTAAGTGCAGGTCCAGGCTCGAACCTTGATTCCACATGGGCCTCACCTTCAGCCTGGGGACTGCCTTTGAAATTTAACCCCTTACTTTTTACAACTGGAAATTCAACACTCCAAAGATGATTATTTTGTGGGCAAAACTAAGGTGATTATATTCATTTAAAAAATGAAAACCATTCTTTACTGAGTGCTTTCAGCCCCTCAGTGTGGGCGTGCCTAGAAACTGGCTGCCACGGCCTCTTGGAGCCTTGGTTCCTTCATCTCTAACTTGGGAATAAGACTGGCACCTGCCTTATATGCGTATGAGGATTAAAGGAGTTGATCTGAGAACTCCCAGCATGCGTGGGACAGGCAAAGCGTGTGGCGGGGCTCAGCCTCCGTCCTCACGAGCATCTCCGCCATGGGGGCCATCCGGCTCAGAGCCCTACCACACCTGGCCTTTAGGAAGTCCCTCCAGGTGCTCTGTTACAGGAAAGAAGAACACAAAGAAAACATTCACTTCTTAATGCCTCTTGGTTAACTTGAGAACTCTTAAAAAAAAAAAAAAGGCACTTTAAAGACAAATAAAAAGTAACTTTATTGACTGCTAATCTTACCATGAAATGCCTATAAGAAATCATTACAAAATACTGCAGTTTTCTTTTACACACTTTTGGTATCATCCTGATATGATGATCCTTTCACAGAAAGGATTATTTACAGTTTATGTAGATATAAAGCTCATTGTTGCAAATACAAATGTAGACGTAGAGAGGCCATATGTACCAAACAGGTATACCAACCAGCAACACTATTAACAAATGCAGAATAAATTACAGCTTCATACGTTTCTTTTCCTTTTTTTATTGTTTAAAACAATTTTCAAATACAAAATGTCAGTAACCAAAATGGATTTTCATATACATATATATAATTCTGCTGCAAACAGTGGATCAAAAAGCAAAAACGTTCCTTAGAATGTTTCATTTCTGAAAACCCACTATTCATAAACCCAATTAGAAAGAGGGTGTGCAAAACCACCAATGATGCTGGCAAAACCCTGAAGACCTGATTCTGGTTGAAGTACAGAGAAAAAGAAAGCACTACATACTTAATTGAAGATGCTTTTGTCTTGATGTTTGCAAGAAACGCTATGAGCTAAGGAAATGCACCACATTATGATCTGGGCTCTTTTCCGTTAAACCTCCCGGGATGTGTTTCTGACGCATCTATACGAAACGGTGGATTATTCAATGACTTACTTGTGAGTGAAGCAGTCAGTAGCTGATCCTTCTACCCTTTCGTACAGAAGACTGAGATCCTTTTGTACATTCAGATATCTGAAACTTTGGTTCTTTTAGAACTTTTGATAAAAGCAAAATAATTTCATGACTATAGAACTCTATAGAACTTGTGTTCCTTCCTCAGTGTTGGGTAAAACTGATCTGCCTGGGCTTGGAGGGCACACACTGCCCAGTGGGTGCACACGCACGTGGGGGTGTGCAAGGGGTGGCACAAAGGCGGGGCTGGCCCGTGTTCTCCACGCGTTCATCATACCGACTCCCACCCATGCGGAACACCGCATTTTCTGCTGTACCCGAAATCTATTTCTTTGTTACCTGAAAACTTAATCTTGTATAAAAATATGACTGTTTCTTTAGAAAATAATATATAGTTTTTTTTTTTAAGAAAACCTGGCAGATAGAAAAAATGGTATATCAAAATATGGTAAACAAATGTTGTAAAATACGAAATCATTACAAACATCTCATAGAAAGACACATTGTGCTAAAGTTCTCTCCCGAAGTGCGAACAACATTGTTACTATACATCTAAAGGTTAACAGATTCACTCTCCTGGACCTGATTTCATTCTATATCTTAACAGAAGTGGCAGTAACTAACTGTCTTAGAAATGGCCCTCTCTTAAACCGCTAACATTTTCTGTACACTTAAACTTCGAAATTAACAGAAAGACACCCTCTGCAGCCGTGGTTTTAAACCCCAATGCGTATCAGCTCCATTTGGAGAGCTTTAAAGGAAAAGGCAAGGGCACCTGGAACTTGCCGCAACAGACTGAGTTTATTGGCCGGAAGTGGGACCCAGACATTGTCATTTTTTTTAAAGCTCCCCAAATAATTCTATTGTGCAACCAGGGCTGAGGATCACAGCAAAAGACCCGTGAGAAAACAGTCATTCTTAACTTGACATATATTAACTGATTGTCTGTAGGTATCATTCATTCAGCAACACATTCTCCATGTTCAACAAGAAAGACCATGTACACAAAAACAGTCCTGGAAGCCAAGAAGAAGTTAGTAAGCTTTAAACACATATAAACACACGCAATCTCCGGTATTTATATATGTATAACATATACGTACAGTTATGGTATTTTGGTTAAGCAGAAACTAGCATTACCATAATTGGTTCTTGATTAAAACAAAACAAACAAAACACCAAGCACAAACATTTTCTAAGACATTTCCATAGTTTTAACAGAAACTCGTTTTGTAAACGCCACAAAATGCACACAGACATGAACACCACTGATCAGTTTTTCTGAGGAGAAACTCTGCTGGGTCCTAGAGCTTTCCGGGAGAGCAGGAAGAGGACAATGGCACCGAGCAGGCGTGAAGGGGTCACAAGGCATCAAAGCACACAGAGCCTTCTGGTTATTGCTTCATTCCCATCTTCTGGACCTGGGCTGTGCTTCTGTTATGCCCATGTCTTTGGCTTGCTAGAACTACAGGATTTTGACCACTTTGTTAGTGTTCACTTTGGGACAGCCCCGGAGAGGCGGCAATGGCTACATACTAGGCAACGGTCTCTCCATTAAAAGGAGAGACTCTTCTCTCCTCCCTCAAACCACGTGTGTGAGGGACTGACCAAAAAAAAAAAAAAAAAAAATTACAAGCAAACAAATAAACATAACAACATCTTCCACATGATTTAAAAAAATGTGATGTCGTGTAATCAAACGAAAAAACAAAAACGAGGAACAAACACCACGACTCAATGTTCTGAAGGGCTGGTAACCAGTAAAGCACATTTCCTTCCAAAGGATCATTAACTTCTGGGCACTGGTCTTGGTGTACATTCTCTGTAGTTCTTTTATCTCTGTGTGATACTTAAAGTGCAGTTGTCCCAAGGATTTTATTTCCATCGCAAGTATCATCAAGAAAGAGCTATATGTTCTGGGGTGAAGAAAATCTGGCACAATTCCATGGCTTTCCAACCTCCAGCAAACAGCAGGCTGCCTGTGGAGCCAGCTGCGTGCAGACGTACTCTATACAACGAACTCTGGAACTTCATCATGAGTGAGATCCAGAGAAAAGTACTTGCTGGTTCTTTTGACTGGAAAAGCATCTTGGATGTTGACACACTGCTGAGCCAAGCAGCTATTGCAGTACAGGCCTTCCTCATCCAGTTCGTGGCCGCACCCAAAAGTGTAGCTCTGAGCAGTGTCTTGACACAGACCTGCAATGCGCAAGAAGTCTTTCTGGTAAAGTCGGATGTCATCCAGGCTCAAGCTATGTCGATCAGTGGAGGTCTTTGGTTTCCGACATATAGTCTGCAGAATAAGGGAAGGTGAGAACAACTTTAAGAGTAGAGACCAAAGTGAAAGGTTAGCAATATTTGCCCTTGTAAAGAGAGAGCTGCAAAATCTTAGAAGGTTATGGAATCTCGTATGTTGGAAAGTGATTTCCAGTCTGAGGTTTCAGGGCCGCTGAGG